TGTGCCCTTGTCCCAGACAACCTGTTGGGAGGACTCTTTGCTCTGTTGGGTTGCATCTGCTCTTTTGTCAAGGATTAGTTGTACTTTTGTGGGTCTATTTCTGGGTTCTCTGTTTTGTTCTATTGATCTTTTTGTCTGTTCTTTCACCAAAACCTTGATTACTATAGCTTTGTAGTTAGTCTTAAAGTGGGGATATTTTTATTTATTAAAAAGATTGCCTTATTGGATGCTACAAAAATGATTGTTCACAAAAGGTAATTGTTCACATTTAATACACTATTTCCTGGTACTTTCAGTGATGGATCTAGAATAGTTGCCATGCTGTGCAGGTTACTGCCTGCAGAGGCAGCCTGTATAGGGCTGCTGGGCCACGCTTGCCTGGCATCTGCCTGGCTCATGGCTGGGTGAGTCTCTTCCCTGCCCCATCTTCCCACCTCACCAGGCTTCACACCTATGACTGTGCAGGCCCAAAAGGGCATCTGTGCATCTATACCAGGTTTAACTGTGGCCTCTTAGTGAACGGTTTCACCTAAGTAGCATGTTTCACCCAGTTCAGTGAGAGGGACTGTGAGCTCCCCGTGACACACAAGAGGACAGAGGCTTGGGCAAATCACTCGATACCCTGTGTCTGTGCAGTGGGGACTGGCTTATCTGGAGGGAAAGATGTTCTTAGGATTGAATTTCATGCCATTGAGGGGCTTAGGATGGTAAGGTCTTCTGATCTGAGCCAAGTGTTCTTTCCAGATCTTCTCTGAGGCCAGTGTGCACCAGGGTAAAAGATGTACCATGCACTGAGGGTTGAGGTCTTGCAAGGCTGGTGCTATCCAAGGAGAAGTGCATGTGGCTGGCCTGACCACTCCCTGGTGGTGGTAATTGGAGTTAAGGACAGAAATCTCTAGACAAACCTAGAAACTTGCAGGATATACATTGAAAAGGCTAAGAGTTACTGCTGGAAGAGAAGAGACGAGATCCCAAAGCTTGGGAGGGAGAATTGAGTGTTCCAACTTACTTTTTTTTGTATTCTGGAGAAATTTGTTTGGGCTATGGGCTGGTTTGGGAAGACAGAAGACAGAGTTTTTAAAGCAGTCACACTATCACTTTATAGAATGCAAAAGCATATTTTAGAGGTTTTTATGTGTCCCGTGAATGGAATCACCATTTGGTGTACTTCTGAGGGACTCCAGGAAAGACTGAACTTACCTTTCATTTACTTTTTTTGGGGGTATGTTTTGACTACAATTACAGGCTGGCTTCAGGGTAAAAGCAAGGCACAAGGGTTTTGTGCAGGTTCCACAAGGAGTTGTCTTAGTTTTTTCTTTCTATACCAGGGCTAGATGTCTATTGTCTTTAAGAATGCATTAGTCTGAGGTCTTCCTTTGGCTGTTCCTTCTCCCAGGGATGTGTCTCCCCTGCTCCTCACCTGTCTGACACTCAGTCATCCTTCGGGTTGCAGCTGGTCACTGTTTCTTCAGAGAGTGCCTCTATGGTCCCTTCCACCTTAATAGAATCTTTCTATTTCTCTCTTACATTGAGTCCTGTTATTCTTCCTCGTAGCACTTGTAATTTGTAAGTATATTTAAAAACATTTGTGCCAATTGGTTAACACCCACCTTCCCCGGCAACCTGTCAGCCCACGAGAACAGAGGTTTCTTTGTCGTCTGTGCTCCGTTGGCCATGGAAACACCAAGCAAACACCTATAATGTTGAGCCAAACCTTGTGAGCAGATTTGGTGTTATGTCTATGACTGTTTATTGAGCAGAGTTTGTTTCTTGTGATTAATTTGTAGATCTGATGAATGAAACATCAATAAACAAACATGTTTGCCAGTGATTCTGTACTTTTTACTTGGACTTTTGTTTCAGGAAGGGACATTTGCCATAATTTTATGAGAGAGGTCAAGGATAGAGGGTGAGGGAGTGAGATCAAATAAAGTAGAAATGGTAAATGTCATCTGGCTGTATTTTTAACTAAGAATAACAATCCCTTTAAACCCCGTCTCCAGTGTTGCCTTGGACCACTTTAAACATTTCTTAGAAAATTAAATGGAAATCTACTAAAGCCCTGTACTTGTGAATACAAGGTAGTTGGTATTCTCAGGTCCCTAAATGTATTCTGTCTCTTTCTTGAAGCAAACATTTTCACCAGCCTAGTGTAGAGGGTTGGGTTAGAACTCAGTGGTGTGCTTTGTACATTTGCTGGCCTAGAGGACTGATCGTATTTGTGCTGTGTATGTGAAGAGTCTCCATTGTGCTGTTTGCTCAGCCTTTTCCTGAACGAGAGATGGCTCAAATGGGTCTGCTTAAACGTGTGACTCGTTTAACCACAACACTGATTCTTAATCCTTTAGAAATCTCTTCTTTCCTTTTGATATGTGGTCCTGACTTCTTTTGACCACATGGAAGTGCCGCAGGAACACATCTTACTCTCCCTTCCCTTCTTGTTGCATCAAGAGTGCTACCATTTTATATTCCAGGAGGCTTCTGGAAGAAGAACTGCACCCTAGTATGTAAAGTATGGGCCTTTGTGTGTGCATGTGTGTTTAGTCAGCTCCAAAGATTTCAATTAATAAACTACTATGGAATATCCTAAATATATAAAATTTAGAATAGTGCAATAAGCAGATTACATTTTCTAAGTTTTACCACGTTGGCCATCTTTTTGCCCCCCCCCCCCGCCTTTTTAACCTTTATTCATTCCTTGTTGAGGTATTTTAAAGCATATTCCGGAAACCACATCATTTCAGCCTCATGTGCTTGAGTATGCATAGCTAAAAAAATGGGAATTTTCTTTCATCAGATTTCTATCGTGACCTACATGCTAGTTAAGCACTAACTGTGCATCAGGCCTCCTGCTAGGCATTAAGGGTCCCTAGATGAATAAGACATATTTCTGGCTGCCAAGGCAATGCAATGAAGGATTGATGGAAGAAACAAATTCATGAGCCTATAAGTGCCTGCCTCACTGTGCCTGTGTTGGCTGAAATTTGTGCATGCTGCAGTGCAAGTACAGAAAAGGGAGAGGTCAGCTGTATAGGGCAGGATTGGAGTAGGGGTCATATGTGGAGGATCCCTTTGAGTGGAATATTGTAGGCAAACTGATAGAAGTTAGGTTTCAAGAAGGAGTGATGCATGGTCCCTGAGAGATGGGAGAGGCTCCTTTCTTGTTCTACCTGCTCATTGATTGAGTGCATAATTCCATGCCTGGCTCTATTCTTGCAACATAATAATAAATAACACAGTCTTCAAATGCAGGAACTGGTAGCCTGAGTGGGGATTTTGAACACAAACAGGTAATTTTACCCAATAACTTCATCAGTGGAGATCTGATAAGTGAAGGGTTCATTCTCAATGAAACAATGGAGCAAGTGATACCATTATTCATCACTCAGCTTGAGTCAGAGGTCCTCGTGCGTGTTAACCACACTGTTCACTGTGTCATCTTAGTAGCATTTATGAACTAGCACTTACTGGGAAATTAAGATGAACAGCTAAGGCACCCTAACTGGGTCACTCGCAGCTCTGATGGGCACTGATGTTGTCTCCTCTTGTGGTTCTGCTTTGCCACCTTGTCAGGAAAGCCTCCCTAGATGCTACCTCCTCGCCTGCCTGTCTCAGCTGTTGCTGTTGTTATTGGTGTCCTCACAGCACTGGCAGCTTGCTTACCTCCCAAGGGGTAATTGTCAGGCTCTACCCACAAGAACGCAGGTCCCCTGAGGGTAGGCAGTCTGCCTCCCCACTCTCTTCCCGTGCCTTGCCTTGTGTTAGGCTCCATGAATTCTTGATGCCGACTGTTGTGAGCTATTGTAGATTTTCTGTGAACATTCATTTTGTTTGAGCCTGGGTGCATCTGTACGTGTTTGCATGACTTAAGTTAAGATCAGCAGGATCAGTGATACACCAGTCTGGTTGATGATCTGGGTGTCTAGGACTCAGCTCACCTGGCTTCCCTCTGGGTATGCTGAGAGCAGCTGTTTAGGGTGTTGTGGTAGGTGCAATCTCTTAAGCCTCCACCTGTGACTCTACTTGTTCCAGCGTGGGGACCTCTGTAGTGGAGGTCACCAGGCTTCCTGTGGAGTCTCCACCAGGGAACATGGGTCCTAGTGAGGCTGAGGGAAGCTTAGAGGTGGTGATGTCTTTGCATCTGACCTACCCCTACTGAGACTTGTGTTTGAAGTCATTTTCCCCAAGCCTCTATAGCCCTGGACTCACAGCACAACACAGCACAGCACAGCACAACACAACACAACACAACACAGCACAACACAACACTACACTACACTCCGGTTGCTATTACCACATCTTCATGAATGGTTTTTAGGTGGAAAATACTCAGATGCCAAAAGGGAAGTGGAATCAGTGACTGTACACTTCTGTGATCTTAAGGAGAAAGTTTTCTGCTGGCTGTGCACCTAAATTTCCCACCATTACTTTAAAACACGGAAGACTGTTAGGGAGGGAGCAGCCATAAAAGTCTGTCAGTAACCTCGTTATCTAGCTAACGATCTACTTTTCTGAATTTTTTTCTTATGTTGTAGAGAAATATTGTACTCTTTTTTTTTTGTGATACTGGGGTTTGAAATCAGGAATTTGTGCTTGCTTGGTAAGTGCTATACTACTTGGCCACACCTCCAGCTCTGTACTTTTTGATTTAATATCCTTGGTTGCTGATAATGAAACCTTATCAGACATCAGCATTTTGAGAAAATGTATGTCTGTAACTCAAATGCATGCTGCTGAGTACAATCTTGTAAGCTTACCAGAATTATTTTAGTGGTTTTTTTTTTTTGAAATTATGTCTTTGCAGAAGAAGTAAGGTATAATTGAGATATTTTTAACGTTTGAAATGTGTACCTCTTTGGAGTTCTTTTCCAGGATAACCAGACAGGAGAAATACTTGTCATGGAGAGTTCAAATGTTGATGCTTTTGTTTTTGAGTTATCAGATTTCACACATGACATTGAGTGTGTTTCCTCTGTGACACTTTGTGACTTTTGCCACAGGCACGCACAGAGGCTGGGCTGCTGTCCAGATGCGTTTGCTCCACGAGCTGGTGTACGCCTCCCGAAGGATGGGAAACCCCGCTCTGTCTGTGCGGCACCTGTCCTTCCTTCTGCAGACCATGCTGGACTTCCTGTCAGACCAGGGTGAGTGCATTCCGACTTCGGTTCTTTGCAGGGAGACATGGGTCAGAGCACTCTGGATCTGCTTTATGGATAACCTGGGTTGTGCTTTGGACTCATGGTGTTGCTTCACAGTCTTCTGTTGAGGGCAGGTACGAGGCTCTGCCCTGCCCTTGTCTGTCCTTCCCTTCCTCACCTTTTGGGCACCCAGGCCACTGCCCCTTGCTCCTCTGTGCCTCTTCTGGTTCTCCCCATGCTCTTCACCCTGCCCACAGCCCTTGGCCTCCTCCTCCTCAGCCTCTGGCTTGGGTTTCCTTTCCTTTGTCTGTACGGCATAAAATTTATGTGCCAGAGTGTGACACTTATATAGAGAAGATCACAGCTCCTCACGGCACAGCTCAGTAAGTTTTCACCAAGTAGTCACTCTTGTAACAGCATCCAGATCGGAAATGGAGCAACCAGAGGCCCGGTGCCCCTCTGGGCCCTTCTGGTCACTGTTGCCCAGGATGCCTTCTGTCTGGTTTCTAGAGCCACACGAGGCTACTAGTTCAACATCCTCTCTGCCCACACCCCAAGTGGCTTTCCTCTTGGTACCTCTGCCAACCCTGTGTGGGTGTCACCTACTGCTTGAGTTTCAAATACACATAGTCTGTGTGTTTCAACCCAGCTGTGCTTACTTTGTGGCACGTTGGATACCTCCAGTGGGGCACCCTAGCACTTGGTTGTCAACGCATCAGAAACCTGTGCCCTTACCCACATCAGTGTTTGTGGGAGGTGGCTGGGTTCTCAGGGCTGCATCCTCTGCCATGGAGGCTGATGTGCAGGAAGCTCATTGGGAAGGACTCATGGCATCCATGCTGGTGGGTAGAGAAAGAGGTGAGATGGAGCACTGTGTTCTTTTTTTTAAATTTTATTTTATTGTTTTTACATTTGCTTACATGTGTATACATTGTTTCAACCCCCCTCTGCCCTTCCCTCCCCACCGCCTCTGGGCAGAACCTGTTCCATGCTCTTGTTCTCCAATTTTGTTGAAGAAAAAAACATAAGATAAAAGGAAAACAGCGATTTTGCTAGTTTGAGATAAAGATAGCTATTTAGGGAGATTCCTTGTGTGTTTCCATGCACATATGTATTACAACCCACATTGGTTCATCTCTTCTAGACCTCGTCACTACTTCCTAGTCCCCTTCCCGTAGTGGCCTCTGCCAATTTAAGATGAATACATTTTCTCCTCTACAGTAAGCATGTTGACTACATTCAAGTTTTAGGTTTCCTTCCCTTTCCCCTTAGTGTGTGACCCATGTCCAATAATATTACTGCATTTGTTTTAGATCTATAATCTGCATATGAGGGAGAACATGCAATTTTTGGCCTTCTGAGTCTGACTAACTTCACTTAAGATGATGTTCTCCAGTTCCCATCCAGTTTCCTGCAATTGACAAAATTTCATTCTTCTTTGTGGCTGAGTAAAATTCCATTGTGTATAGATACCACATTTTCTTAATCCATCCATTTGTAGTGGGGCATCTTGGCTGTTTCCATAGCTTGGCTATTGTGAATAGTGCTGCAATAAACATGGGCGTGCATGTGCCTTTGTAATAACCTGTGCCACATTCCTTTGGTTATATCCCTAGGAGTGGTGTTGCTGGATTAAATGACAGATCTATGTTTAGTTTTTAAAGAAGTCTCCATATTGTTTTCCAAAGTGGTTGTACTAGTTTACATTCCCACCAGCAGTGTATGAGGGTTCCTTTTTCCCCGCATCCTCGCCAACATTTGTTGTTGGTGGTATTCTTGATGATAGCTATTCTAACAGGGGTGAGGTAGAATCTTAGTGTGGTTTTGATTTGCATTTCCTTTATGGCCAGGGATGGTGAGCATTTTTTCATGTTCTTTTTGGCTATTTGGACTTCTTCCTTTGGAAAATTTCTGTTTAGTTAAGTTGCCCACTTTTTTATTGGTTCATTGATTTTGGGGGAATTTCGTTTTTTGAGCTCCCTATATATTCTGGTTATCAGTCCCTTGCTGATGTATACCTGGCAAAGATTTTGGTCTCCTCAATTTAGAGACCACTTCTTTTGTTGACAGAAGCATTTTAATTTCATGTAGTCTCATTTGTCAATCCTTTCTCTTAATTGCTGAGCTGTTTGAGTTCTACTGAGGAAGTCCTTGCCAATACCTGTTGCTCCCAGAGTGTTCCCTGCTCTTTCTTATACTAATTTCAAGGTTTCAGATTTGATATTAAGGTTTTTAATCCACTTTGAATTGATACTAGTACAGGGTGACAGGCATGGATCTAGTTTCAGTTTTTGCAGACAGATAACCACTTTTCCCAGCAACATTTGTTGAAGAGGTTGTCTTTTCTCCATTGTATGTTTTTGGTGCCTTGGTCAAAAATAGGGTGGGTGTAGCTGGGTCCTCTATTCTGTTCTACTGGTCTTCATGTATGTTTTTGTGCCAGTACGATTATTATTATGGCTCTGTAGTTTCAGTTGAAGTTGGGTATTGTGATACCTCCAAGCATTGCTCTTTTTATCAGTATTGCCTTGGCTATTCT